GAAGTTGATAACAATAAGGGTTTCAAAAAGCGAGATTCGTTGCCATCAACATTTTTTAATCTTGGCTTTGGAGTACACACTAAGAAAGAAACATAGATTTGAACACGACGGGGGTCAAATAATAGCTTACGAAAACGATATCCCACTTATAAAGAGAAGGAGAAGGAATGGAAAAGATGTTAAAGGAAATGGTGTGAGGGAAGGGAAACTGCAACTGCAACTGAATGAAGCAGCAAACAAATTTACATACTTAGGAGTAATGATATCTTGTACAGCCTTGACAGCCAACAGAGGCAATAAGAATCTGCTAGAGAATAAGAAATAAGAATTAATAAAAAAATAAATGTGGCGAAGAAAAAGATCTTGAAAACTATATTGCGAAGGTAGACGAAAATAATAACAGTATAAGAATCAATAACCAGGTACTCTCACAGCTGAGTGACAGAAGAAATAACTAAAGTGGTTGGTATGTGTAGAGAGCAGAAGAGGCAACAACGATTTTTTCAATGTTACAGTGGCACCCAGGCCGGAAAAAAAGAGAGAAATTAAAGAGGATTTGAGAAGGAAAAGAATTGCAGTGGTTCCTTTAGGAGTGTAATGGGGTATTTGATCAAGCATTTGCGTTTTAAATCATTAAATAATAAACCCTCTACCTGGGGGAATACGCGCAATGGCAACGCCGCAATTGCAGGATGAATCTCGGTGGATGTCGATCGGCAAGTAGGTATAGTTATAAAGTTACAATCGTGGGATCGCATGGGTCGGTGAATGGCAGGAATGCATCAAGCTGCAGCTGTTGTTTTTAAGAAGCTTTGGTTGGTCGACGCGACTCGGCGGCGTTTTGTTAGCAGGAATACTCCGATCCCTTATCTCGTGTGCGTTTCGTGATGTTGCTTTATACATTTTTTCGAAACGTAATTTCACTCTGCGCGCGTAATTTGTATGCTAAAATTGTTATTAAAATCCTATTCGCTATACATAGCTGTATTTAAATGCGCTCTAACGACGCGGATAGAAACGTACATTGTAGATACTAGTTTAAGCCCGTGTGGTTTAGCTTAATTTTAATTAATTCAATGTGATCCATTTTTCACCTTTTTTTTGTTTTGTAAAGACGAGGGTTAAGACGGGCAGCCCGAGAGTAGTTAATTAAAACTAGACCAATGGGCCAGTCTCCGAAGGTTTCAGAAAATTAATGAAATACCTATCCTAATAAATTAATTCGTTTTGTATGTAAATCCGAAGAAACGTGGGTGCTAAACATGAAAGAAAAAATAATTTACTACAGTTGAAACTGATTTTTGGCGGAGGAGTTGCTCGACATCAAGATTGGAACACTTTAGAAAAGGACGCCATAGATGGTAAAATGTTAACTTAGTATTGTATGGAGGATAACAGATGATAAGCGGAAGAAACGAGGAAGACCACCTAGAAGATGGAAGCAATGAATACAAGCGGCCTTCAAGAAGAAGATGGGACAGACAGGAAACTGTGGAAGTTGAGATGCGGAAGACGATGCCCGTGGTAATAGTAATGGGAATGGTAATTATCGTTATATAATATTTAAATCCTCAATTTTAATTTTAGTTTTTAATATGAAATATTTGCAGTACTTAAGCTAGAATATAACCAGCACTCCCAATTGAAATTGGGTTAGGATAATGTTATAGGTGGTTATTTTTGTTCAAATATTACAGTATGAGAAAAATAATGGCCTAAATGAGAATGCTATTTAATAGTGAAGTCCTTTTTTTAATTACACAGCGTAGATAAGTCACCTTAAGAACCATCATCATTATTATACGCGAGGAAAGTATACTAGGCGGGCAAGTTTGCATTTAGATAAAGCCGACATCTCCAAGTAATATAATACGGTCCTTTGACACCCGAGTCTAGACTGTCGACACATTAATATTCAGTATTTGCTTAGGTTTGTTTTGGGTTATTTTTAGAAAACGGCGTCGCCTTTCAACCGCTGTTTGTAGGTATCCTATAAGTACTCGTCTTTTTTCATTATAAATAATTGGTACATCAGCGCACAAAAAGTTCCGCCATGTTCGGTCAGTAACGCCTCCTGACTCCGTGTCGTACCTGTTTACGGACTTATCGCAAGGCAAATCGTTATTAGTGATTTGTCACCCCGGAGCCGAAAAATATTGCTTAAACATTTTTTATGGCAGTGTTATAATCGAAACTAGGTTTCGGCATTCATCTATTACCGAAACTTCAGACAGGTCCTATTGTACCACCTACCTGCAGATGAAAGGCAACAGGTACACTCCCTTATTTTAGTTCGTAAATTTAATCTGCCTTTAACGTTTCCCACACTAGAGAAATCACATAGGGGGTTGGAAAACTAGGGTGAGGCCGCCGTAATTTTAGACCTATTTATCTCTAGAAGTAGGGGACGATAGGAATTTGCAGGTGCGTTCAATTAGGGAATCGACACAAGTACTGCCAATGCCTGAATTGACGGCGACGGTCGATTGGGTAAAATTTCTGGGGAATAGCCATATTAGTTACTTAGCAAACCAATTTTATAGAAAAAAAAGTCTCTCAACTGCGATATACAGGATACATAAGGAAACCAAAAAGAATGTTTTTTTCTTCGTCGTTATAGTCGTAATGGATTTCAACTGAATATTTTTCAAAAAATAAAGTACGTCGCTGTTTCATTCACAAGTATTTTTCTGTATTCGTTAGAAAAAGAAATTTTTTTTAAGAACTTACTATCAAAATAGCGATTTTAATTCGATTGATTGAGCTTTTTTCGTCCCAGTTTCAAGTCAGTTAAGTCAACAGTTGCATCGATGAATATGTATACATATGTAAAATTTTGTAGATAATAAAGAAAGCGTATTTTTAAGTTCAGACTAATTTTTGTGGCTTAGTATAATAATAATAGTTCATTGTAGTTTTTAAAATTAGCTTTAAGTTTGTTTTATTGAGTTGCAATTAGATGGTTCTTCCAATCATACGTATTTTTCTTATCAAAGCAGATGATGAAACATTGAAAAATATTTTGCAACCTTTCGACATGCCACTTACGTTTATTATCGATAAAAAAACTGCCAACCATATGAAAATAGTTGGTTAATGTGACAGAACATGTGACTCAGATAATCGTTTCGTTACTGTTAAATTTTTGAAGGTTTTTAGTGACGTGCTTTTTTAAAAAAAATCCCAGATGTATATGAAAGCATTTTGCCCAGACGATAACAGAAAGTCTAGTGTTTTATAACAAATTAGTATATTGACAAATTGATACTCATCGTGCTTATTAATAAAAATATTTTAGAAAAATGTTAGCCCATTCTAAATGTTTTGTCAGAAAAATGACCACTTTGGAATTTCAAACGGAATATCCTAGATTTTTTGATAGATTCGGACACTTCTATTGGATTTGGGAAACAAAAACTAATATTATCTTTTTAGCAAATCACCAAGTCAAGTGACATTTAATATATAATATTTAATTAATAATATAAATAATATGTAAAACATATTTTAATAGTATTCTAGGACGTGTCTAGCCGAGTCCTTCAGTTTTGAGGAGATTTTTCGATATATTTTTGAATAAATCAGTAAATCCAAGGAAGTTTCGTTTTGAGATGTATGCAAATCAAAACAGGCATTTCAAAAGGTTCCTTGTCATTAACATTTTAAAATTGGAATGCCACAAGATATTCGCTCATAATTTCAATGAAAACAAGTAAAAAGTGTAGCATCGCCTTCGACCCAAAGCACCTTAGCAGTTGATACTGTTTTAGTCTGTAGGTGAAGACGAAAATATTCTGCGTGTAAAGACTGACCAGTGATATCAGGAAATCTGTGGATTCCTTGAATAGTAATGAATAAAAAATTAGATAAATAAAATGAAAATTATGGTACTTAAACCAAAAAATAAAGAAATACAAAATCTAAAGATAAATATAGACTATATAGACTATATAGACTATAGACAATAAAATTCTGCCTGCAATATTTAAACGTATATTTTATTTATCGAAAAAAACCAAGGACATGAACTACAATGCTGTTTCGTTTTATACATCTGTTTTATATATGGAGAACTTGAAGGAAAAAAATTTTCAAATGATTGAAATGTTACAAAACAAAATAATAAACATGTTATTTGATTATAGACGATTAACTAATGCAACTAGGCTTTCGAACTGCAAATCGAACAATGTAAATTAATATTCAAAGTACTAAATAATGAACAAAAAGAAGAAGAGAAGAAGAAACAATAATAAACAATATATTTCAGATCAACACAAGAACAAATTTTGCGAATAAATTGACTTTGTTAAAAAAATTAAAAACGATATTGTTAGTATACAGATAGGTTAGTTTATGTTAGTTATCTCGAGAAGTTTAAGCACTCATTAGAAATATTTCTTAAAACGTCAAAATTGTATATACATTGTCTTATGTTTGAAAGATTTGGAATTAAAATAAATAAACGAGAGTTGCTCTCCGGATTCCCAGATCGGTAATACGAAATTATAAAAACTTAGCAACAAGCGACCTTGCGCGTATAAAATTGCCAGTCCAACGTCGAGCCAGCTAAAATAAAAAAAACAATAAAAATTATAAAAGCCCACTTACCTTGGCGGGCTTTTAAAAGTATTTTCAGGGTCGGGGGGCATAAATTTTCGATTCTTCTGCACGTGGCTAAAGAAACCGCGCGTGTTCGTCGGAGCCGTTTAAACAGGTCGACGCCGCAGTCGGTCAGCAAAGTTAACAGGTAGGATTCTTTGAAAACGGCCATCGCTTCGTATCGGCCTCGCCTTTTTATACCTGGGCGGGTTTCGGCTCTTGAACAATTACGTCTCAGATTTGAGACTTCGCACCGTCTTTTTTTCGGAGAGCGCTTTTACAATAAAACGTAAATGAAAGGCGGTAAATATGAGCGTTAACGATTTTTTTATTAACACAAATATACCTTAATATTAACGGAAGACAATAATATAAACTATGCATTCTTAAAGCTGGGATCACATGTCATGCGTCGTACAAAATAAAATTAAAACTCTATATATCACAATCGACGGGAAAAGTCGAGAAAATACCAAAAAAAATAAACATTCGTTGAGCAAGGAAATCACATGGTCGTAAGGCACATTGGGGACGTCACATTGCGGCGTGGCGGCTTACGCCTGCGCCCACCTATCGCATGCTACTTGCAGTTCCGGAGTTTGGTACTGACAGATCGCGTTGTCGTCGCCGTCCTTCAGGATATCGCTGTCCGGAGAGGACACGGACGTCCAGAAAAACGTACCAGCTTCGGTCCTCGCGAAATGAACCGGGACGTACCGCTGACCTCTGGTGACCCGAACGACATCGATTTCTGACCCGTTGTAGACCTGAACTCCCGAATACTCTTCGCAGCTATCGATCTCCTCGAAAATCTCGTTCTCGAGGATCTCGTTGGCGATGTTGTCGTCAATTTCCTCGTCGACGTAGTAACTTGGCTGAGGATTTTTCTTGTAGGTGTTCTTGCTGTGCTTCCCGATTACGCACTTGATCAGTTTCTTGATGTGGTGCATAGGTTTGCGCGCGGCTTTTTTCGCGTTCACCTTGTTGTCGTTGACGCTGTTGTTCGACGATACGAGGTAGTCGTTGAAGTTCATGTCGATTAAAATCGCTTTGGTAAACTCGATCGCAAAAACGAGACGAAAGTGAATGATTACGGTACGGCCGATAAAACGTATTTATACACGAGCTCGGTATGACGTCAGCCTGCAGCGCCCTAAGGGTAAAGTGGGGCCCAACCCTCGGCCTATCGGAGGTGCGTATAGGGACAGGTGTTCGAATTTGACTGAGGCGAGCGAAGTGAAACGCCCGAGCAGGACGCCCTCAATTCTCGCGAAACAAGTGCGACAAGGTAGGAGGATGTGTGGTCGTATGCATAGGGTGGCACATATACGGATGAGATCCGTGAGAATCGCAACTAGAACCCGGTTCCCACGAAACGAGAGGCAGATGGCATACGTAAGGGTGTTTTTAAAAGATTTTTGCTGAATTAGAAATACTCCCTCGTACATTGTGTGGGTCTTGACCCTTTTTTACCTCTTCCTTATATTCGACCCTGTTTACGGTGCGACGACGACGTTCCTTTGCATTCTGGCATATATATGGTTTTTAATTTTGTACACGCACGTGTAAAGAGGTAAACAGGTCCGACATGGTCAGTTTTTGTGTTCGGAAGAAGCAGTTACTTTTGAAAGGCTTTCAATTCGGTTGTGGAATTTACCCTTCACGTCTCTACCTGATGCGGGGGTTGCATCTTGAAAAAGATATTTTTGTGCAAAACACGGACACAATGGAAACGGTTCTTATTACAGAATTCCCCCTTTTTTCGATAAATCGCGCCGAAAGTACAAGAAAAAGAAGAAAATACGACAGATGCGTCCGATTTTTTTTTGTTATCAGTTAATCTGTAATGACTACCTTTTTCTAACCATTACTTTCAAATTCCCAATTATGTTCCGACACTTTAATCACGGGAATTGCTTTGTTTTAGAATACTGAATTGACATGACGCTTCATTTGACATCCGATATAATCGTATCCTTTTAATTTTTTTTTATTAAATTGTTATTCATAATAGAGGTGCAGCAATGATTAACGTTTTTTATTATTTATTTCAGGCCTTTAAACCATCGATACCGAACTGGAAAAGTAAGTTAATGCCGTTTATTTGATATTTGTAGATTAGAATTCTCATGTTTTATTTTTTTAGGAATAAACTCACTTGCACCACTTTTGTAACTTGGACATATAAAAATCAAAAGTGTTACATCAGGAATCTAGATCTGAAGGGTCCAAAAGGACTCGCCATATAATGTGCTCGATAATTTTGAAAAGTTTTCCGCTTTGAAGGCGGATAATAGAAGGAATTATTATATTATATTATAAGAAATAGTCCATTACTTTTATTCTCAAGTGATATGGGTTTACAGAATTGTGCTAAGTAATTGTAATGTCCGAGAGTGTTTAAAAATCTAATGAATAGCTGACAAACAAAGTTTGTTTCAACTAATTTGTGATCGTATCATTCCCAAACGGTTCTATTTACGTACCAAGCAAGCCCGGGATCGTTCTTAGAATGAATTCAGAACGGTAATTTAAAAACTAGTCAGTGGGAACTATTAGTACCCACCTGCGTAATTATGTATATTATCGGCTTATTCAAGTTTTCTATTATACTTGCTATAAAAATCTATTAAAAGATTGGTTTCATTTGCCGTTGCCGTTTCAGTTGTGTTCTTTTACGTTACAGCATTGGAGCTAGGGACGCTTGGTGTTAAAGCAGCAACAGCTGTTGATGGACTGAAAAATTTATTATCAAACATTCTTGCATTTTGGAAAAACCATCAATACATTTTGAAAGGGACAACACTCACCTTGAATTAGCTAAATTGTTTTAAAATTTTCGTTAGGTTAGGTTAGAACATTACAACAGTACTTGAAACCGTTCCAACAGATCATCGAAAACAGAATGGTTTGGGATATGAAAACTATACCAGAAAGAACATTGAGTTAGAACGAATCTAGAAATTTAAATAGATCTCAATGAGTATATGGTATCCGCAATTACGTGTCTCTTTGTTTTGTTTTTGTTTAACTCACTTTGCCGTATATTCACCGCAACAAGCGACAAATTCAATATTGCAGAATGACTGACACTAAACTGACAGTTGATAGTTGAGTCTTGGATTTCAACAGGTTAGTGTTTAAACAGTAATTGTACTTTGAAATTGGTCAAGTATGACGGTCACGTGACACATCTCACTCAGTCTATTGGTACAGTTGTATGAAAATAATTCATGTAATTATCTCCCCCCCCCCCACTTCACCATTTACATTGGTACCAGAAAGCTGCTGATGTAATATGATAAACTGTGGAAACTTAAAGTTGCCTCACATGCTTAAATGGCGTTTATAAAGCTCTAATGATATTTGAATACATGAATTGTTTATAATGTTTAAATGAACAATACCAAAAAGTTTTTAAAAACCTTTTGGTAATGTGTGGCATCATGCGACACCCCAGTCGCGTAATATGGTGGCCCAAATGGCTGCTTACAACTAATAATAATGAAAATGAAATTTCCCGTTCTTATTTCAATGGAATTTTCTTGGTGGATTTCCTAATGCCACATTTTCCCACCTATAAAGGAACTCAAAGAAATATTTATAATAATGTGAAATAATTGATGAATGATATGATCGAATAAATAATAAAAAAATTTGAGAAAAAACGTAAAAAAATGCGATGCTAATGTAAAACACATTTATCTATATATCAAAGAAAATATTTTGTTATCAAAGCAGAGCGTATCATTATTATTTAAAAAAATGGACATTTTATTTCGTGCCAACAAGTCGAGACCTGCACGGGAACACGTGCATCGGTCCCTTTCAAAAAAGTCAATAACTTATGAAGAAATCTCACACAATAATCGGGAATTTATGGCGGATCTCGTAAATCCAAGTAAATATTTACCGATTATGTTTCGAAGCTAAGTTTTCGGCGAAGTGTTGCAGCACGTAGCTCGTTGATATGCGTTGATATGCCCGATTCGTGGGATTAAGTGACTTGCTAAACGTCAACACCCGGACGCCTTTTCGTTATGGAGCGCTATCAGATGGACTGCCAAAATAAATATATATTCGGTGTCATTATCGGGCACGCACTGAAGAATGATAATAAGCTAGATTTAAAGTTAAAATAAATTATGCAGTTAGACTATAAAAGTCCTCTTATTGGAGTAAATATAAAATAAAAGAAAAAACTTGACTCTCGTAAAGCTTAAATTCGATTTTGAACAAAAACTGTAAAACATCTTTCAACAAATTGTGGAATAATGTGGAATAAAGGGAAAAAAATGATAGCTATCTCCATTAAACGATTATTTTTCAACGAAACATTTTAGGATTTTCACGTATTATATAGTGCCCGAGAATAGCCACATACTCATTAATTTTCCTATTTTTTTGTAAGGGGCCAGAAGTAGTTTTTTTGTTACATATTATTTTGCAAGAAATTTCCCTCGAAGTTTCGATGGACAATCATTTAGAAAGTATGTACATATTTTAGCAACACGAACACAGAAGAAAGTTCTCAAAAAAGAAAAAAAGGAAGTTTTATGTTTATACAGGGTTTTTCAAAAGTTGAGATGTAATTTTTGGTAAGTGCCAAAGTGTCACTTTCGGTTCGACTGGAAGTTGCTGCCGAATATTTCGAGATTCTGTGTGAAATTCTACAAATATTTTGTATATATTTTTGTGATTTCTGAAAATTTGTTATAAAACAGGCTTCCGTTTACATTTTTGTTATTGTTGTTGTCTACTTTTATACAAGGCGACTAAGATTCGGCAGCAAATATTCACGTTTTCAAAGTCGCTAAATTCGTTCTTTTCAAATAGGGCACTTATTTCTCTGTTAAACTGCATTGGGGTTACCGATGTATACCTATTTTAAACGATATTCAAAATAATTACGTTTTTTGATAGTACCGTATTTGTTCGGTTGAAAACTTTCCCCCCATAATAATAATACTTATTAGTATTATTATTATTACTATACTAATTATTATTTTGGACATCCTGTTTTAAAATAGACAACAAAAATGATAAAAATGTCGACTTAAATTAGCATTTTCGAAGCTGACTAAGCTGAATCTCAAAATGTAATATTGTGCGGTTTGTTCCATTTGAAATAAGCAAGTTGTCAGTTGATCCGACGGACGTCGAAAATATTTTAGAAGCCCCAAAAATTGAAAGGCGTTTCTAAATTACATCTCATTAAACTTTTAATGAACGGGTTGAGTGTAAAACTCTGTATATATAACATTTTATGAGCTTTAAAACAACCGTCTAAATTTACAATAAATTAATGTCCATTGATCAAAAATAAGCAAAATGAACAATCAGAATCACAAATTATCCGATATAATGCAAGGAAGTATCTACTCACGGATTAAGTTTAAATTTGGCGCCATGATCGGAACTAGTCGCTGTTCTGATTGGTTAGTATTATTTGAAAATTTAGGTGTACTATTCTATTCTATTTTATTTGCTGAGAATATAGCGACGTATTACTAACTAAAGAAATAAGTGTTTGTGGACATTTTTATATTTGTATTGGACGTTTATTTTCTGATTTAATCAAATCAATTAATCAAACATTATGTCAAAAAAATCTCAACATTTGCTAATACGGTCTGCTTGTTTTCACATCCCGAACAGGTCTTTGCGTGTTAAAAATCGCAAAATATTCCCACGTGGTATTTCAAAAGCCCCGTCGTCTTTTTGCTCCTGATTTTGTCGGAAACACAATATTACCTATACCATTCTTTCCTTTCGCAATATATCATTTCAAGCAAACAATAATATACGGTATGACTCACCCCGAAGTGGTGTTATTCGTGTTGTAGGTGGTGGCAAAAGGAAGGAAAGAAAGGACGCCTTTTATTTTACGGACTTTAAAAAAGGATATGATTCGGACCAAAAAGATTTGCACAACTGCGAGTAAAGACACGTTAGGACTCGTCTCAAGACGCTCGAATGTTCCCACGTGTTTATTTTTCAGACAACACCTGCTCCGTGTAATGGGTTGAAATCTGTTTCGTTATCATACTTTTTGTGCGCCTTTTTCTTG